CTCTTGTTGCCATAGCAATGAATAAATAATATTGAAAAGAGAAAAATAATGTCAAAGTGCACACACAAACAGATACTATCCAGAAATGACATGTCATGTGGCCTGTTAATCATTTATATACGAGAGGTGTGTTTCTCGTGGGTTCGAGAATAATCAATAAGACTCTTGCATCACGATTTGTTTAGAGAAATCTATAGCCAGTGGTTGTTAACATTTTAAGCATAACAAAATGTGACCTGATTTCAATGAAAATGATTCACTGATGTAAAAGTACATATGACACTTTGTTTGAAAACTTGTATGTGATGGAGATAAATGGATCTCATTTTTGGATTCAGTGTACAGGAATTACTGAAGAACATGTAAAAATTTCAAGACAATAAAACCATTGCAGGCCTGTGTTATTCCTTCAGAAAATCAAATAAGTTATCAAAGCTAGTTGGTGTAACTAGCAAATAAAAAAATAAAAAAAGTCCACATTTTATAAAAAAGACAGGACATGGAAGGAAGGGTTTGTTATTTCATAAACAATTAAGGAAATGATAAATTTCATTTCAAACTCAAACTACAACCTGAGAGGAGAAGGAAGTATAAATTAACTATTAATAAAACGTTCTTTATTTAGAAGTGTTTAATATGGCTAATGGAATTTGTAAAATTAATTTTTTTCTACAATAAAAAAAAGCAAATAATAAAAAAAATTAAAATGAGCACATATTTGTTAAACTTTTCATTAACTATTATGATGTATCATTTCTTTAGCTCTTGATTATTTGTTTGCCCTATGTTTGAATTGCACACTATTTTTGGCTATTAAATTTGTATGAACCATCTAGTATTGTTTGAAAAAGTCCAATACTTGTAGTATGTCCTGCAATATATCCAAGTTTTAACATATCGGTGGATGTTATTCAGCAATAGTTGGGGGAAAAAAGCCATACACAGACCAGTCATTTGCAGCAGGCTGTAATGTTTGAAAAACACACTAGGGGTGTAAAGAGCTCACATCAAGCAGTACATAGGGGGTGTTAGCAGGATGGTGCTGTTTCTCTGTTCTTTGTTTAAAAAAATTGGACAATAGAAGTTCATTCGTATTGATTGAATTGTACTGTTTTTATATTAAGTGAATGTGTGATTATATTTTAAGGGCAAAGTAGGGTAAGAGACACCTTAATAAACAAAGTAACAATCAATAAATTTTTAAATCCAGTAAATTTGGAAAAATTAAATTGTTATAATCTCCTTAAAGTCTGGCACATAATATCTTGGACTAGAATCATAAGGTAATTACTCTTTTGTAACTTACAGAGAAGAGTAAGATGGTATTTACATTTTGTACTAGGAAATAAAACATCAAAAAGTAAAGTCACAAGCTTGCATTTCATAAAAAGTCAAGTTAATTTGAAATAAATCTGCTTTGTATAGTCATTTGTATGAAGCAAGATTTTTTGTCCTGTTTGTGTTTAACTGTTGGGTAGTGGAAGATATTCAATTGTTATCCTAGTCATTTGCATGAAGCAAGATTCTTTGTCCTGTTTGTGTTTAACTGTTGGGTAGTGGAAGATATTCCTTTGTTATCCTCACACATATTGTGTACAGGAGAATCACTTCAATAAGCAGTGGCAACATCAAATGATTTCTGTGCAATCAATTCTTAAAAAAAAGAATCTTGTATGTTTCAATCTCATCACTGGATGTACTAGACATGCTAGAATCAGAATCATCCTCATCATGATCTCCATAATCACTTGAACCTTCATAACCAACAGAATAAATTTCAATGTCATTGTACATGTCTGACTTCCATTTCTTTGCTGCACATTCTACAGATATGTTAGAAGGATTTGTATCAAATTTCCTTTTCCTCTGTTTTTTGCCATAAACTTCTCCAAGGTTGCTTGTAATACTTGCTCCATAGGTCCATACAAAATCATTTGTTTTAATCAGTAGAAGGTTCTCCACTGTTGCATGTTTTAAATAAACCTTTGTTAAATGAGCATGTGGGTAAGGTGACTAAACCATACCTTAATAAACAATATTATTGGGTCTAATGCAGAGCACTATTTCCACCAGCATACAAACATTCTTAAATTCGTTCCTTCTGTATAGGAGCACACTCTCCTCATTGTGGCTCTATTCATGTAGTACTTACCATTCTGTGTAGTTCCTTCCATCTTAGTTTTATCAGAATTGTTCATTTTTAGTGTCTCATAAAAATGCTTTGCAAGTGAATTTAAACATTCAGTTTCCCTGATGGTGTTACCCCAGTTTGCTGGATCTATCTAAAACATACTTTGATAAAGTTCACTCTCAAATCAGGCTTGTTTTGATTCAAGACAAGCTTCTGTACTTAGATTGACTCTTATTCTCAGATAGTCTACAGTTTTATCATGACAGTCTACATTGTTCATTAGACAGTAGTTGACACTGACAGTAGTGTATTCCCCATTTTCTTTTTTTTGGTGCCCTGATTTAAGCAAAGTGCTCTCAAGATGCCAGGATTTCTAGTTCAAGTTTGGCTTTTTCAAAAGATTTTCATAGTGTGTAGCTGAAGTTTCTTCCATGAGTTATTGTAAGGTATGCTTTGCTTTTTCTACTACAAGCTATATCTGATAGGATAAACTGTTTTCTTTTTCCTACGGTAGACAAAATAGACATGTATTTTTGTTCAAGGAACATTTTGACAGAAAAGTAAAGTACTTTATCTCTTTTAAGTAAGAGTCCATGAAATTTAGCTGATACTACTACTATTTCTTTCCAATTGACAAGGGAATTCTCTATTGCTTGAGTAAGAATGCTCAATTACTCAGTAAATGATTTTCACCATGTCTTATGTGTGCAAAAAATCATCTATCATGTAGGAAAATTAAAATGCTGCACACCAAATGTAGTGGCAGTTTTCTCAAAGTGCCTTTTTGAACTTTATTATGTAAATATTACAATTGTTTTATTTAAATGAAAAACTTCTATTTCTCATCGACCAGATTTCTTTGTTGGATGACAAGTTTTTCTTAGTGGAAAAGTAATTTAGTTTCTTTTTCACCTTGATCACTCTAATGTTAGAAAAACAATCCAGGTGTATTTCTAGGGAGCCATGAAAGTTCCTTCAAATTCTGAACTGCAAAATTTTAGCACATACACATAAATATTGAAGTTTTGCATACCTTCAAACCTCAAACAAACTACATACACAAATATAAATATTCCTTTCACAAACCTTCAGTCACACACAATAACAAATGTACTTAAATTAATGCAACATTATAATAATTATTATTATTATTATATTGCATTTGTTTACAGTAGGAGTCCAAAAAAATTTCACTGCCAGCTCTAAGAATATATAACACAATGTTACAAGAAGTTTTGAATGGATATAATACACATTATTTTTTGTTTCTGGTAGCATTAATATAAATCATGATTTTTACTAAATCAATTGGTGATGTTGAAAGACTTTGTGACAACTATATATTACCTGATCTGTAAAGTTGAAGGATAGTGTACATAAGTCATTTGATGATGTTGAAACACTTCATGACAACTATGTATTATCTATTCATATGATCTGGGTTACTTCAGTTTACTCTAAAATTGATGAGTTTTTTTTTTTGTAAATGATCTTCTGGTGTGGAAAATATCAAAATTAGGTTAATTTATGCATAAGATAGTACTGATAACTGAGTTAGTTTAATAATTTTTCTGTACTAAAAATCAATCAAACTTACTATTCTTATTAATAAAGTAATTAATTAATTGACCTGTGTGCTGATTTGTTATTTATTTGTAACTCCATATTTTCTAGTACCTGTTTTAGGTGTATCATGTTCAAAGTAAATGATTTGAGCATTTCTATTGTTTTACTGCTGAGTACAAGCAGTTTTTGTTGTTAATTAGTATGTTAGACACTAAACATGATTAATGTGTACTAGCTAAGTCCAATATTAAACATGATTTGTAATTACTAGTGGAAGAGAATGATTTAGATATTGAGTATATTCTTCATAAGTATATGGATATGAAGACGGTTGATGTTGAACTACTGGTTTAGTGGGAGTGAATGATTTAAACATTGAATATGTTCTTCATAAGTATTTGGACTTCATATCCAAATACTTATGAAGAACATATTCAATGTTTAAATCATTCTCTCCCACTAAACCAGTAGTTCAACATCAACCGTCTTCATATCCAGTTACTTATGAAGAACATAATCAATGTCTAAATCATTCTCTCCCACTAAACCAGTAGTTCAACATCAACCGTCTTCATATCCAGTTACTTATGAAGAACATATTCAATGTTTAAATCATTTTCTTCCACTAAACTAGTAGTACAATGTCAACCGTCTTCATATAAATCATTCTCTCCCACTAAACCAGTAGTACAACATCAACCGTGATCATATCCAAATACTTATGAAGAACATATTCAATGTCTAAATCATTCTCTCCCACTAAACCAGTAGTACAACATCAACTGTCTTCATATCCAGTTACTTATGAAGAACATACTCAATGTCT